AGGAAATCGGGAAACAAAATTTTGGACAAGAGATTGATTGTAATCCATGTCTCATGTCCATAAGATATCTTGTAGAACGGAGGAATATTTGATCACTTATCTTAGGACCGATGTCTGATCAGATCAGAGTCTGGGAGTTGCTTTGGAAATAACACTTTGCTGTTTGATTTAGAAGTTATACTTGCAATTGTAGTTATAGACTTATATACGTGGGAGACTATTAGATTAGGTGTCTAAGCCAATAACTAAATTGGTATACACTTGAATTAAAAGTAAAGTCATTTTGGGTTGCCCTCAAATCTAGTAATTGACTAGAATGACTTTTAGATAGAGACACTGATTTATTGGTTTATTATATGATTAATAAATATCAATAAATAATTTTTTAATATATTATGAAATTAATATATTAATTAGTAATAGTATTATTTAATTAATAATTAATCAAAAATTAATTGAAATTAATTTTGGGATTAATTAGATTAATTAAAAGTGCAAGGACCTAAGCTATAATTTTTCAATAGTTGGGCAAGAGAAGGATTCTGGAATATTCTAAGAAGGGCCGAAAATTTGGTGGCTCCTTAGGGTTTCTGGATAATTCCATATATATAATATGGATAATAAGGAAACTAGATAAAGTCAAGATTTGAAATAATATTATTTTATTTTAAATTTTGGTTATCTAAGGATTTCTTATCAACTATAAATAAGGCCTTAGCCTTATAAATTTTGGCCACCATTGATACCCAAGGAACTGCCAAAAAATATTCTCCCCCTCCTATCTCCTCAAGTGTTCTAAAGTGCTAGGGTTTGGGTACAAGCAATCAAAGACATTAGATTTCTGATGCTTGCTTTCTAGAGCTTCTTCAAAAAGATTTTGATTGATTATTTACAATAATAATAAAAAGGTATTTAAACCCTAATCCTTTTGTGAACTTCGATTATAATAGGGTTTTCCTAGGGTTCTTTGATGTTCATAGATTATAGCTATAAAAAGAGAAGAGAAAACTTAAATCCAAATAGGTTGCATGTGAACTTAAGGGTTAAGTTTTTCCGCTACATGTTTTTAATTATAACCTATAAAAACTATCAAGAAGAACACATTATGTGTTCTTGATATACTGTGGTGAGAAAGAGCTTGGAGTAAAGGGTTACTCTGATGCAAGTTTTTAAACCAATAGAGACATTTCACGCTCGCAGTTAGGAATCATGTACTTGTTGAATAAATAAGCAACTTGGAAAAGTTCTAAGCAGAGCACCATAGTGGACTCACCAATGAATTCTAAATTTTTAACAGTAAATGAATTTGTTAAATAAATTTTGTTGATGAATAGGTTCATTAGAGATCTTTCTGTTGTTCCCATATTAGAAAATATCATATGAATCTATTATGACAACACTGTTGTATATTTAGCTAAAGAACCCACAAAATATAAACACACACGACTTATACTAAAAAAGTATCATTAAATCTGAAATATTATTGAAGAAGGAGACATCATGATCAATAGATTATCTTTAGATGAGAACTTGGCTAGTGTATGTGTGTGTGTGTTAGTTTGTTTGTTTTTTGGACGCAAGAACAAATACTTCACATTCATGGTTATCATTTAAAGAAAAAGAACAAACCTGTTTCTCGTGATTGATTTTAAAATCTAGAGTTATGGAGATGAACAAAAATTATTTTTCAATAACACACAAATTGGACACGCTTCTGGGTTTGAATAGGACCTGAAGATTTCTTGAGTTTTGAATCTTGAGTTCTTGGTTCTGAAAAGAGAAAAAGGGAAAGAAAAGAACATATGATTTGAGTTCTTGAGTAGGGAAGAGCAATTAGTACTAGATCTTAATCCAATATCGGTACCAAATTTAAGCATATGAAACGGTACTAGGTACTCTAAAATCACAAAATTTGGGATTAGGTATCATTTGTACCGATGTTGGTACTGAAAACCAGTGCCTTTTTCGCTACCAGTAGCAGTAATGTTAGTTCGGTTCAATACTCGATATCGTTTTTTTCACACATATAGGTATCCAGGATTCTCGAATTGATACCGATTTCTCCTCATGCTTAGCTATTTTTGAATTCTCGTTCTGGATCCAATTTGTGAAAAGATGAGCCTTATTTTTTTCATTATATTTATATATATATATATATATATATATATATATATATATATATATATATTATATATACAGAGAGAGAGAGAGATAGATAGATAGAGAGAGAGAGTTAGGTTCATATATAACATGTATATATTGTGTGATCGTATGACTAATTCTGGACCAATCAACATCCAGGGACAAAATTGTCATATTGTGTAATTTAATTATAATTTCTGTTAATCAATTTATTAAATAACCTTAATTGGAATCCTATAACTAAGGAATTTAACACATATCACGTTGTGCGCTAGGGTTTATTTGCTTTCCTTTTTTCTTTCATATGTCGACGACATGACAAGCATAGAAGGTTGAAGCACACATTATATAAAGACTGTCGACTGGAGACGTACACCTGACGACCTAAGTCCGATGCACCTCCTTCGTTTATCTACACAGTGGTTGTTGGGAGTACATGACTCGTCCATGCTCCATCTTCTTCATTCCGTACAATCTTATTCATTCTACAGGTAATCTAATCCATTTGCCATCTACGTCATTCAATACCTTTCAGACTGTTATTCTTAGTTTCGATTCTTTGATTCTTTTGGAATTGTGAAATCATGATTATAGTTTACCAGTTCTGTTTATGAAAGTATTTTGAAATTGTGATTATAATTTACTGGTTTATTTTAGAATTGTGATTTAGTGTTTACCGGTTAAGTGACTATTGAAAAATGGAGTTGTGATTTAGTTTTTACTAGCTTAGTTATATCGTGTTTAAAGGTATATTTTTTATTTCATTTTAATGAATTTGATGGCATTCTTACCAAATAATGAAATATGCTTAATTTCATATATTTCTCTTGACATTCTTAATAAATCTAAAAACATTCATATTGAATATGTTGAATTTCTTATAATTTCATTCATCTTGAGAGGTGTCGCAAATAGTAGGGTACTAATAACCAATGCTTGTACACAACACATATTCTTGAAGAACATAACATAACTATAGATTAGATTTCCCGGTTCTTGACATTTTATGCATGTTCTATAGGCTGTGAAACATGAAATATATGGAGTAGTCGCTAAATGTATAATTGGCTTTTTGGTTTTTGTTATATCTCTTACTTTCTACGATTGGTGTTTTGTTATCATGAGAATTGATGATTCATTCTATAGGTTGGAGATGATACACAGTGAATGTATTGAGTTGCATATTATCCCAACTTGAAGAATTTTGGCATGCAGAGAAAACTTTCTCTACAGTGAAGTGGAGATTTATAAGTGGATCAGTAATCAATCATGTTTGAAAGAATTCATGTCATGTACTATAGTATATTAGCCCTTGGGCACTCTATTCTACATGAAAAGGCCTTCCAAGATGAGTCATTGCAACAATTTGCAAAATTTGAGCTTCTTTCATGTTCTAGATTTAATGGTTCCACCATAAAATCATATATGGTCTTAATGTAGTTGATTAAGAGAATCTTGAAGTTTTTGAGAATTCTTTAATAATTTTTTTAGAATGGATTAGACTTGTACTAAATTGTGGAAGAACAAAATGTTTTTTATTCTTTAAGAATTCTGGAATTGATTAGACATGTATTTGGGGAAGAACAAAATGTATTTTATTCTTTAAGAATTCTTTCAGAATGGATTAGACATATACTCGTTTGTCGAAGAACACAATGTTTTTTATTCTTTAAGAATGTTCTCTATTCTTTAAGAATGTAACTAATTCCATTCACATATAATATTATAAGAATGTTTATTATTTTTAAGAATGCCAATATATAATTTACCTAGTATCCAAGTATTTTAACGTATATTTTAAAAGAATGCAAACACACCTAGCTAGCAATTACATAATTTTCTCATTAGAAAGTGATTTCAAAATATTTTACAATCAACGTATTATTAAATAATTTAATTTAATTGCCAATTAAAAGAATGAAAAAAAATGAATAAGAATAATAAGAATGAGTAATTAAAAAAATAAAAATAAAACAATTGCAATTACAATTCATGGAAATCGATCATGCATAATTCAATCCCAACAAAATCTAACATCGCCTTAATATTTGCATTTTCTATATTTTATGGTAAACAGTTTGTCTGTTTACCCTTATGGCTGTTTAAAAATAAAAATTATAAATTTTTTAAAATTAATTACCATAATGTCATCTCCATTTTAACTATTCATTCTTTAGATCTAATATTGGTCATATAATCATACCATATTTAGAGTTAAACACCTCTCTCTCTCTCTCTCTATATATATATATATATATATATATATATATATATATATATATATATATATATATATATATATATATATATATATATATATATATATACTAAAATAAAATAAATAAGAAAATGTATTTTTCATGGTAAAAGTACCTGTAAATAATGAAACCACATTAACAAAACACAAAAGTTTCAATAATTGTTTTTACTAGGTTTGTTTGTTTTAGAAAATTAACCACAAGAACCAACCGTCGTAATTTTTGTTGTTTTAATTGACGGCAAAATAAGATAGCGGTTTTTTACGCATTAAAAAATAAAAATTTATGTTTTCTTGGAATGTTTCCGAACATATATTTTGTTTGAATCACATTACCCCACCACAACAGTAAACTAACGTCCCATCAAACGTTCAAAACGATGTTATATATTATACGTAATGTGTTACATTCGTACTGAACAAGTAAACAGCTATGCAAGTTTTATCCATTTTGTTTCTTATTATATTACTATATAACTTTTTGGTTACATGATCGGATGAGGAAATTGACGGCGGGGGTGGCGGTAGCTAGTAAACCCTAAACCCCACCCCAGCTAACCCACGTTCGGCAGACAAGCTTTCTCCTTCACTGTTCCAGAAAATGCTGGTTTCACAGGTCACTATTGGGTCCCCTCCGGTGGTTGCCAGCTGTGTGAAAGCCCCAACCCTCCAATCATTCAATGCCAACCTAACTGTTCTATTCTCTCTTCACTCAGATAATCACAAACAAATATCTCCGGTTGCAAGTGTGCTGGCATCCCAATCACCATCTTCATACTTTCCCACTATATTCAAATATAATAATTCTTTTTTGAAACTCATGATTGATTCAAAAGACTCTATTATTAATTTAGTGAGTTGGTTATAGTTGTAATAATAAGGGAATGTTGGGGTAGGAAAGGAAAAAGAAATAAGTGCATAATGTTGTGGAGAAAGCCCTTATAACACACTAGTCACTCCGCTTTTTCTTGTGCATCCACAATTAGAACAAAACACACTTGCAGGGTTTCTTTCTTATTAAGGTACACTTTTTCTTTCTTTTTCTGGTTAAACAGAATGTTATTAATGGACGTTTATTTACAGCCAAACAATTAAAACTCTGTAGGTTGAGTTTGAGATTGTTAGTATTGAAACTTGAAAGATGGGCTACTGGAAATCGACAGTCGTTCCGAAGTTTAAGAAGATCTTCGAGAAGAACACAACCAAGAAGACAGCTGCTATCGAAGCTTGCAAGTCCTTTGATGACGCTAAGGTCTCTTAACATTTTTCGATTATATATGGAACTGATTAATGGTTTTCGTTTCTTTATTTATTTATTTTTTGGTTTCTTGAATTCTTTGACTTACGATATTCATATGCATGTCCACACAGGAGGAGTACAGCAAAGAGTTTGAAGAGAAGAAAACTGAGCTCCAAACTAAAGTAATAGAGATCTATGAAGCTTCTGCAACTGAAATCAAGGTTCCTGATCACTCCCTTCCACCACCTACTTGAAATTTTATTAATTCGTGTTTACTTTTCAAGATGTGAGTTGGAGTTGTTTTAGAAATATGTAGTATATAAGTATTTGTTATGTGAATACAGGCTTTGGTGAAGGAACCTAAAGATGCTTCTTTAAAAAAGAACTCCACCGGGGTTACCAAGTTTCTTGAGGAACTATCCAAGATAGGTACGTACATGCCACTTAAGTTTACGAAAGTGGGATTGAATTAAATCATTTGAGTTTGTTTGATTAAACATGACTTTACATGCACAGAATTTCCGGGGTCGAAACCAGCTCATGAAGCGTGTTCCAAGTTCGGACCAACGTTGGTTCAGGGACCTATTTTCTTTGTATTCGAGAAGGTGTCGACGTTTATTGTGGTAGAAGAGAAGGAAACAACGAGCAGTAAAGACAAAGACGTGGCGGTGGAGGAAGAGAAGAAAGAGGAGGTGGCGGTACCGGTGGAGACTGAGGCAAAGGCGGCGGAAGAGGTGGCAGCCCCGGCGGAGCCACCAAAGGATTGCTGATCGAGATGACACGATCAATTTATAATATGTGAAGAAGCTGGCAACAATTTGATAAAACTGTTATTGTTTTTGTATTCGTTTAATTTTTGAAAATTACACTTTTGTAGCCGAAGTACTTGTATTCCTATGGTATTTTACAGTTTTTGGTGTATTTATATATATCACTTATTATTCATTATTTTAATTTTTTTTTTTTGGTTTTGATCAGATTGGTATAATATATTTTCATAATGTTTTACAACATCTTCTTAGTCTTCATTTGCCATTATGACCATTGCCACCGTGACAACGCATCATATGTTTGTTATAAACAACACAACATGTTAAACAAGTGTTATGTAAATGTACCATCTTTTGTAATTTTAAAAATCTATATATGAGATAAAAACTTAATTAGTATTTTAATGATTATATAGCGTAAGTAATTTAAAGTGTGAATGAATTTGTTTCCAAAAAAAATTCGACCAACACTTCATAAATAAAACAAAATAGGTTATGAAAAAGATGCATTTAGTAGTAGATGAATGTACATGATTATCCATAGAGAGAATAATTAATCTTCATTTAAGGTGTATTTGTATGTGTAAGTTGGCACATGTAGGTTATAGTAATTAGTTTTTAAATGTGTAAAACTATATAAAAACTAAAAGCTAATTATCTTTTTGCTCATGTATAACAGTTAAGGTTGTACTTCAACCAATTAATATATCCACATTACGTGACAGTTGGGTATGAAACTCGGGTAGAGATATTGAATTCATTGTTTTGAGAGTTCGAAAGTGTATTGATGGTAATATTCTTTCGGATGGTGTGGTGTCTATAAGGTAGAGTATATATCTTCCATTAAAAGAAAATATTTTTTATTGGCGAACAAGTTGCCAACGTCAATCAATCTAGATGATTGTCTTGTGGTTGGTAAATTTAGTTGCTCCGTCATTTGCTTCCATTGATTTTTAAGCGCAAAAATTGTGTTAGAGTTGATTTACTCTTGTTTGAAGCCATTCTTCAACTGTTATATCATTTGGTTCAACTTATTGTTGATTGAAGTCTCATTTGCTTTTTCTTGATCAGCTTGAAAGTAAGATGATAGATGACTTATGGTATTAATTTTGGCCCAAATTATAGCTTCTCCACTAATCGTTATTGTATGGATTCGTTATGATGGAGACCAAAAAATTCATGACAACCTCGATCTATGTCAAAATAGTCACCATCATTCTTTGTTCTCATTCGTTCATCATTGGTACAAATTGCAATGTGGAGGATCGTCCTGAATTGCAAGTGTGCTGCAAAACCTATGAAAATTCGAAAAGATAGCTTGAACAAACAAGTAAATGAGAACTAAATGCAAAAAATAAAGATTTTTTGGTTCTGAGAATTTTGAAAAAATAGTACAAACAAGTAAGAAAGAAGAACCTAAGCACTAGTGCAATAGCTCCCCGAGAACAATGCCAAAATCACAATCATTGATGCAATCAAATTAACCTTAAAAGCACAAAATAGGTAGGGCGAGTATAAGGGTCGAATGCACGATGACCTTATGGTTAGCAAGTAGTTCTAAAGTGATTAACAAACTACTTTTGATGAAAACACTATTTGACAACAATTGAAATCAATATAATATCCCCACGATGGGAACATAGTGGTTGAGAAATGGAATTCCACACAGGAAATCTAGGGCTCAAACCTAATCACATCCAAAATATTGGTAGTATTCCACGATTGACCTCCCATATGGGCATTAAGGCGGTGGGTTGCTCAGATGGTGTGATGTACCATTTTTTTAAATCAAGATCATAAGAAGTGATCGCGCCCACTTTTCATTTTGATTACTAAGATTGTATTGTACCGAGCGTTACTATTTTTGTGTTCATTTAGACTACATAGACATGAGTTTATGTTTAAATATGGGATCAAACTTTGTACATCTATGTTCTCTGTCTTAGACATCACTTTAAGTATTTTGGCACGGTGGGGGAGACCACAATAGAATTGTCTTACATATAAAGCAATCAGTTATTTTAGAAAAAACAATGGAAAATATTAATCAATTAAACAGAAAACAACCTAAATACTTTTTCTATGAATATAAAATGTTCAACCCTAATGTAATACAAGAAAAGAAATCGAAACTTACTTACAGTTAAGATCACTTGAGTTAAATGCTCAAGATTGGTGTAGATAAAGACATGTTGATGATGGTTTTGCTTCCAAAAGTAACTTGATCTTCAAAGAATTATTAAATATTATTGGAATAAGGCTTTGATCTTGACGCAAGATGGTTTGGAAGTGTTTAGGGAAGGATTTGGGACCCATTGAGGTTGTTAAAACTAAGGAAAATCATCATGGGATTGATGAAAAACAATAACACAAACTTCCCTTCTTATAAAGCTTCTTAAATATGATAAGTATGGTTTCATGGTAGCGGCGTCTTTGGAGACGTCCCATGATGTTGGGTAAGACATTAGATGGTGTCTTTTGCATGCTCTATGATGTTTTTGATTTTACTCTAAAAAATGCTACAAGGACTGGACTTTGGTCGTTGTAGCATCCCAATTTCCGATATTTTTAGTTTTCTTTTCTTATTAATTGAATGAAGGGATATTTGTTATAAATACAAATAAATAAGTAAGTTTAATATAATTAATGGTTGAAATAATAAAGATTCGTAATAATTAATAATTAAAAAAACAATTAAGAAATAAGTTTTTAATGGTTTTATAACCATTTTCTGAAGGAAGGACTGAAACTGTCAGTTCATGAACTTATGGATGTAAATAATTTTTTTTAAGGGGGTTATTTTTGTCATTATGGGATAAACTGGGGACTAATTGTGTAATTTCAATTTTAAGCCCATGTTTTGGACAATGTTTTAAAACCTGAGTTTTTATTTGACCCGGTGTGATAATCGGTTACCGGGTCAACCCGGTTTATGGTCTTTTTCTATTTTCATATATTTTTACTTTTCTGCATACTACATAGATGCATACCGCAAAAGTTTCCAAATCATCATAATTAAGTTCTCCTTCCCACTCTTCTTCAACCACCAAAAATCCTGTCTTATCAATATTTTCATAGTCAACAGGATCGTAAGACCTCATATCAACCTTCAATCTACAAAAACATTCACAAAAATCTCAAATATAACTTGGTCATTTTATAGCATAATATATCTTAGCAAGATACCATACCTATTTTGTAAACGCAAGTTGTAATGAACAAATACAAGATCATTTAGCCTTTGATGTTCCTCCGTTTCGTGTGAATCCTTTCAAGTACACTCCAATTACGTTCGCAACCGAAAGAAGATGCGGTTTGACTTAATATTCTAATAGCAAACTTTTGCAAAACCAGAATATCTCCGCCAAATAACTTCCACCACTCATCTACAAAAGATATAGTTAGCAAAACATATATTAGAAAAATACAATATTTTATGTTTTATATATAATAATAACATATTAAATTTAAATCATACCTGGACGAGTAAGATTACGAGAAGCAACGACACTAGATCTAGCAAAGGTACCATCAGCATCACGAAACCTGCCTAAATTCAATGTAATATTTAAAACGTCATCACCTTTAAAGTCTTCTCAACCATTTCAAGAACGCCTTGAAACACCTCATTCTTCTTACAAAGATTTGCATGATCATATTGAAAAACGGGATTCAACCCATAAGCCGCACAATAAATACTTTTTTCTTCACATCCTATCCCAACGACTATCAATTATGTTAGTGTAAGGCCTGTATAATTACTTCTTCTTCTTAAACAATTCCTTAACCCGTCTCCTTGCCCGACACATTCCCTTGTAAACATAACCAATTGCAGGTTTTTCATCCGAATCACACAACCGCAAAAGCTTTAACAAAGGAGTCATTACTTTCACTGTAATCAAAAACAATTTCCAAAAGATTTCATTCAAGACAATCTATTTACATTCAACCGCATTTCCCACTTTCAACATCTTCTTAAACTCATTAGATATGACCATTGCTTGTAAATCTGCTTTATGGTCATACAAATTTTGCCATGCAATGAACGCGGTACCAAACCGAGTAGCACCTGGATGGATGATTTCTTTCCAACCGGGTCTTTTTCTTAACCAATTCAAGGGCCACTTATGATTATAAACGAAAACAGTAAACCTCGATGCAAGATTGACCAAACTTTTCACATTATCCAATTATAAAAGATCCTTTAATACAAGATTAAGACAATGCGCTGCAAATGGAGACCAAGTAATAGAAGCATATCTTTCACATAACTTAGTACCAACAAGCTTGTAATTAGCAGCATTATTAGTTACCATTTGAACCACATTTTTTTCTCTTACCATTTCAACAATCTCAGCAAAACAAATTACACAAATTTGTAGTATTGCTCTCTATATCAGACGCAATAACAGATTTAAGAAATGATATCCCTTTCGGACAATAAACCAAGAAATTAATCAAATGTCGTTGCGTAATATCCCTCCACCCATCACTCATAATTGTGCAACCAGTATCAACCGATTGACTTCTAAACGAATCAATTAACAATGAAACTGACTTTTTTGCATCTGTCAATAAATTAACCCTCAAAGCATGATAATTAGGTGCTTTGTACCCATAACCAATACTAGCTACTTTATCTACCATTAGTTGAAAAAAAAGGAGAGTTGCAAGCAATCATAGGTATACATGCATCATAAAACCACAAAGCAATAGCTAAATCAACATCATGTATTTTTCCCTTACTTTGCATCGCAGATCTGATAGTGGGTTGGGAAGGATCATTTATACCATTCGTAAAAAATGGATGCAGGTTTGAAGTAGATTTCCTTTTTCCCTTTTTCACAATTGACATTTCTGCTTCCTCCATCTCTTCTTCATCATCCAAGATAGTAACACTAGTGGTACGTTTTTCTTTTTGGGTAGTCTTTTTCAATTTCCCTTGCATAATAAACCACACTTCTGGGCTAACTTTTGGGCATGATACTACCTCACCTTTTTTATACCGGAAAGATGTTTCTTAACCCTGTTTATTCCACCACCACCTATAAATTTTTGACAAAAATTATATATTCATGCCTTTTTCCCCTTCTCATCAACGAATTGAGTTACATGTTCCCACGCTATATCTGTCTTTGTTTGTACATTTGATTGAACCGAAGAAAGGGATTGAGATTG